CCAAGCCTTTCCTCAGCCCCTTCGCTTGAAACGTGGAGGTAGGACCTGGACTCATAACATCCGGCAGGAGGGGTTGGCCTTATCTGCCAGGAAACACTCAGCTCCAGATACATCCTCCCTTGCTCCCGGCACCCCAAGCAGCTCCCATTGGCAGTGCCGGGCAGGAAACCACTCAGCAGCTTGTCTCATTCCCTCCTCTGGAGAGATGGGAGGGAGGGCCTGATCCTGGCCTCCCCTGTGTGGCTCCCCATGAGGTGTGGTGGGGTTCAGAGTAGGGTTGAGATGGGTGCAAAGGGAGGTGGAGGGGGAAGGTGTTTTCTCAGGAGCAGAAAATGATGGGGGAAAAAGCATTTTTGGGGGAGCTGGCAGTGTCGAGGGTCTCTCCCAGGCTCTGTCACTGATTTGCAAGGTGACCTCAATCAAGTCTTCTCGTCCCCTTCTCTGCCTCTACTTCCCCTCCCCTGCCTTCTGCTTTGAGAGAAACAGAGGAAAAATAATAATCTCTAAGATAATTTCAGCATCCAGAGCCCTCGCATGGGGTGGATACCCCTTGTACTAAAGGAAGCACAAGCCCTTGGATCTTAGTCACAGTTGTGGTAAGGTCATATGCCAAGGCTGGAGAGAAAAAGATTGGGAGGGAAGGAAATAATATCTCTAGTTTACAAACAGGGAAACTGAGGCACAGAACAGCCATGTGACTGCTTGTCATTGGGGTCTGTGCCTCTCCCGTGGCACTGGGACAAGTAGGCATGGGTGGTGGAGTGAGGATGGAGAGGAACCACCTGCTCAAGGGACGCAAAGGAAATTGCCCACCGTGGCAGGGCCATGACACACACTGCAGCTCCCAGCCAGCCCAAAACCCTGTGCTATCCAGGAAGGTGACCTCATCTCTGCTCCTGATGTCCAGCATCATGACCCATGCAGGCACAGGGAACAAGGGCTGGCTGGGGCCACCGGACACTGGGAACAGAGGACTCACACCCTGGTCACCTCCTGGCAAGGAGGCCCCCTTGTCCTGGCCCAACTTAAGACCCCTAAGTGGTTGCCCAAATGTAGTGTGAGGTCATTTTATACCTTCCTGCAGCCCTGAATGGATTTTTTTGCTGGTTCCCAGCCTGGAGAAAGCAACCCACAAACCACAAGTCTCCTCGGTGTGCACAGAAACAGCCTTGAGCTTGTGGGTTTGGGATGGGGAGGGAGGAGAAACACACAGAATGGGTCTTTCTTGGGATGGAGACCCTCCCAAACATCCATAAACCACCATGGTCACCATGCAAAAAAAAGGCTACTTCCCATCTCTGTCCACCACTTATTTTCTGGCAAGTCCCCGCCAGCAGTGCCCTGCATCCCAAAAACCTGCTGTGGCGTGGGGGGCCCAAACCCTAGTGTCGCATTTTTCCATCCTGCCGGAGAAAGGGCAGATGGCTCCGCTCCCAAATTTCATCTCAGCTGCCAGTGTCCTGGGAGGTGGAAGCTGGCTGCTGCGGGCGCTGGGCGTGTGCCGGGATCCGGCCGGCGAGCCCTGGCTCCCGGGGAGCCGCGCCTCGCCTTGGCTCTGGCTCCCAGCACCCCCGGGGGGCCCCAGCTCCCGGTTGGGACCTGTAGCTGTTCCTGACGTGCAAAGAGCACGGGGACATGCTCCCACTTCTCCTCACGTGGCTCTGGGTTGAGCAAGTGGGGACAGGCTCGGCTCGCAGGAGTCTCCCTGCATCCCAGCCTGGCATCCCGTTCCTTTTCCTGGGGAAACCAGGCTTCGGCTGTGGCTGCACACGCTGCCCAGAGCTCTTGCCTCCACCAGCTGTGAATGTGAAGAGAAGCCTGGCAGAGGCTCACGGGGTGTTTCAATCCATCCTATCAGTGCTTGGTGCTCTGAGCAGGATAGGAGAGAGCAGCCCATGTCCCGAAGAGAGGGTCCCATTGGGGAGATGAATGTGAGAAACCACGTCAGGCATCCTGGTGGCAACACCCTGAGCTTATCTTCTTGTGCAACTGGGACAGCTGAGTGCTCTGCCTCCTCAACAAGGCAGTTTAGAATCTCATTACACCATTCTCAGCTGCTCCTGCAGAAGACCTGGCAGAAAGGACTACTTGCCCTGAGGTTGTTGGCCCTATGATGCCCTGGTCTGGATGCTCTTCTAATGACAGTCTGTTTGGAAGGGAGCACCCTCCTGGATTTTCTGGTTGAAAGGCAGATCCAGGATTGCCACAGGCACAATAACCCCCTTTGCAAACAATTTTTAATGTGCTGCTGGGTGGCTGGAAGCATCCCTTGGCCCTGGGGGCACCACAGGGATTGTGGGCAGAGTAGGGGGTGAACTTCTTCAGTCTTTTTCCTGCTGCTGGCACCAATGTCATTGGGTAGAGAGGCCAAACATGGCATCTCCCTCCTTCGAAAACCTGATTCACAAATCCTCTTGGGAAAGCAACCCTGCCTGTTGTGAGCTGGCAACATCCAGGCTGCTGCACTGACCATCTTGACACCACACCAAGTGTCACATCCTTGTGCTGACCTGGTGCAAGAGCCACTGCAGTCCACAGTGTCAGCAGGACACCCAAAGACATCCATTTTGTCCACCTTAAAAGGTAAACCAGCTGCATGGGGTCAAGGGTGGGTTTGGATGCCTGAATTATGGGCAAAGGAGGAGGTGGTGTGTGTGATGGGAGTGCTGTCTCCAGGGGGTCTATGGGTGGGCGACAAAAGTCAACCATAAAAACAGACCAGGGACATGTTGGTGCCTTCCCAAATACTCACGCAGAGTCCCACCTTCTGGAATCATGGGGTCCTTGAGTCACAGTTAAGTCATTTATGGGAGGCAAGCCAGCCCAGTTAGGTTGGGTTACCTCAGGCTGGATGACCTCAGGACACCCCTTCCAACACACATAAGAAGGCATCACAAAATGCATAAGGAAACATGTTCCTCTGCTTTTGGGAGCCAAGCAGGAGGTAACTGAGGCAAGACCAGTGCTCTGGCAGGTGTTCATGACTGAAGGACTGTAGGAACACAGCTTGATTTAATGTCTAGCAAGAGTAGGCTGTGACGGTCATCCATGGGTCAGAAGAAGGACTATAATTTTCCCTTTCCTAGCCATACCTGAAGGCTCACCACTCAACATCTGCCTACAAGATCACCCATCATGCAGCATCCCAAATTTATCTCACATTCCATTTCTGAGGCCTCAGTGCCTTGATCTGCATGTGCCCTAAGGACTTTTCACACGGCGCTCGCAAGGTGGAGCATCTTCAATGGTGCATCAGCACAAACAGTGAAATACAGACTTAAATGGGAATAAAAGACATGCTCCAGGCAGTGGCGCTTGCTCCATTGACAACACCATTAGTGCTCACAAACACACCAACAATATCTACATAGGACCTGGAATGAAAAGGTCATATGAGATGGTAAAAGCAGGATCAAAGTGATAGGAGTGACTTCTGCCCCTGAGACACAGCAGGGAAAGTGAAGACATGCACACATCATGCCTCCAGTTGGCTTGTCAGAAAGCAGACCACAATTTTTAAAGACAACCACAGATCTTTTTTTTCTTTTTATTTTAAAAAAAATGAAAGTAGAAAAGTTTGGCAAAAAATATCAACAAAAAAATTTAAAAAATTGCACTTGAACAGGAAATGCTTTTGTCTCGAAAACTTTGTCAATAGCTACAGCAATTTCAATCATAAAACAATCATTGTATAAAACCATATTTATTTAAATTAAATATTTTATGCAAACTCATATATACACTCATTCAAAATGTATAGAGTCACACAAAAAAAAGATGGAATGTATTAGCTTAAAAACCTGTGAAGTTGTGGGGTTTTTTAAAGTATTATTTGCAATTATTATTAATACACATTTGGGACTGAAACCAGAAAATCATAGCCATGCTACTAACTAATCATTACCAAGTGCCATACAGTAAACACTAAGATTAATCATGTCATATAACTGATTTAAAATAAAGCTTCATATTTACGAAAAGGAAGAGAACTAGAGCAATACAAAATCAGAGGGGAGGAATAATGGGAGGAATAAATCAGTGTACAGCTTTATTACAAGCAATAATATGCCAGAGTTAGAAGAGGCATCAGGCACTGTGGCTCGAAACGTGAAGCCTTTGCCTTCAAAGTTTTGATAAAAAAATGTGCCTGCTACAACATCACTTCTTTTTCCAAGTGCTCGGCCCAGGACCCATTCCCAGCCCGGTGGGCAAGGCAGCTTTTGCTGCCCTGTCTTTTGGGAATGCTTCTGTGAGAAGGCCAAGGGGAAGCCATGGGAGGGTGGATGCTGGTCAGATCCTGCTTTGCAAGCCCTGGTCTTACCCTTGTCCAAAATGCAGAGACTGAGCACCCCCAGGGCTGGCTGTCCCCCGGAACAGCCCCCCTGTGCAGTCCTAGGGCCAGCCTGGCAACATCCCTGGTGTCCATCCCTGGTGTCCATTTTGTTCCCTCTGGAATTTCCCCAGGGGATTAAGCGGGAGGACGGGGGGCCTTAACCCCTGCTCATCAGCAATGTTAACACCAGGAGCTGAGATCGGCCCAAAGTGCACCTGCAGACTGTGAACCCATTTACCAAAATCTTCCTTTTTTCCCCCATCCCTGCCTTTTTTTCCCTTGCAGGGGGTTTTACCCCTGCTGGGACTTCAGACCTGCTGTTTATGGGATGCTGCCACCCTCCCAACTCCAAAATACAGCCACAAATGGTGGGCAGCCTTCCCACGCTCCCAGGAGCACCTCTGCTTTGGAAGAGGGACGTAGCCAAAGGGTTTTGGCATTGGGAAATCCCCTCCTGGCCCGGTTGGGAGCAGAGCACCCGAGGCTTTGCACCAGTGGTGAGCTGATGACCAAAATCCTTTACCTATGCCACCAAGGAGACTCCGTGGCCCTCACGGGTTGGACTCGGTCACCCTGAGGGGCGGTGAGCGATGTCCCTGGGGAGCAACGCCTCGTCACACCGTGTCGGGTCCTTCCTCAGCTGGTCCAGGCGGCCCCAGCAGGGGGTCTAAGAGACACTGTAGTTATTGTAGTAGGTGGCCGTGGCATCGGCGAGGACGGAGATGAGGCTGGTCTCGGAGGCGTGGGAGCTGCCGGACGTGGGGACCTGTCCGTTGGCCAAGACCCCGCCGTGATGGTCGCCATGGCTGGGGTTGTTGAGATACTGGTCGAACTCATTGCGGTCCATCTCCCCCAGGAGCTCGGCTTGGCTCAGCTGGTCCAAAGTGTCAAAGCTGTGGTGGTCAGGTGGTGGGGAGAGCTGGCCCAGGTGGGCATGGAGGCTGGGGGTGTGCAAGGAGGGGAAGGCGGGTGTGTAGTAGCTGGGAGGAGGAGGAGGAGGAAGGGAAGGGCAGCTTGTGGCTGGGGGGATCATGCAGGTGGCCGGCTGTGGCAGGGAGCTGAGAGGGTGGTGGTTGCATGGGAGGGAGGTGCCTGTGTATTCCGGGGAGTAGGTGGCTCCAGCAAGGTGGGAGCGGTGATGTTCGTCAGGGCAGGGCGAGGAGAAGAAGCTCTGCTCAGGGTCTATGGCATCCAGAGGAGACATCTCTGGGGGGGTGGGCAGCCCATAGGGGTAGGTGTCCACGTTGGTGCTGCTGCCGCTGTCTGGGGCATCCCGGTATGCCCGGATGGATGGCAGCCCCGGAGCAGGGGGGTACTCACCCAACCCCTCTTTCTCCCCCCCAACGCGGCCGCAGTTCCGCTTCTCCGGCACCGCGTTCTGGTCCCGTGTCAGGCTGCCCAGCAAAAACCCGGGGTCCACCCGCTTGCAGATCCGCTTGACCTGCTTTTTCCGCCGGGGCCGGTATTTGTAGTTGGGATAATCTTGCATGTGCTTCACCCGCAGCCGCTCAGCCTCCTCCACATAGGGACGCTTCTGTGAGAGGCTCAGAGCCTTCCAGGACTTGCCTGAAACAGAGAACAAAACTCCCCTGAGTGCCCACAGTGGCCGTATCCGTATCGGGAAGAGAGAACATGGGGCTGCCTCCCAAAGCTTACAGGCACTCAACCCAAGGACAAGGTGGGGGTTCCCAAAATCTGAGCAAGCACACACGGAGGACACAGCCTGTAAACCCCCCAGGAGGAAGAGATAGGTGGAGAAGAGAAGGGATTGAAGCTGCTGTAGATCCATCAACTGCCCCCATCCCAGGTCCCAGAACAGGGTGGGTTTGGGGTTAGCTGAGCCTCACTGCAAATACATCAGGGCAAATCCCCTGGGAGGCAGAGCCCGGCTGCTGAGTGAGGCTGGCCAAGGCCATGCCTGGCTGAGCAGGGGGTCAGGACGTGGTGTCCCTGGATGTGTCCCAGTCCATGCCCTGCCAGGACCTGCACTGGAGCATACAGAGACCTGGGTGCCAGGACCTTGCTGCTCCCTGTTCAAGATACACAAAATGTTCTCAAGACACAGGACAGTGGAGCAGTGCCGGGCGGGGGGGTTGTATCCCACAGTGAGGCTACTCCAGGCTGTTCCTCAGGGACAGGGGGGGAGAAATGAGGATACGGATCAAAGCATTTGATGCCTTCCCATTGCCAAAGGGAACCAGAAATAACACTAGCAAGCTGAAGTGCTGCATGGAAGGCAGAGAGGAGAAAACCCGAACCACCAAAGAAAACACCACAAAACTGCCCAGGGAAACACAAACTTTGGGTAAGAGGCTGGACAGCAAAGCTGTGTTGCAATTTGGGCAGCTCTTTCTCAGGCTGGGCTGGTTATTTCAGTTTGCTCTCGTGGTTTCGCATAAAAAGGGGGGAGTGGGAGAAGGGAGAAAGGGTGGATGGGGAGTGGGAAACAAAGGTGTATTCAAAATGGGTTGTGATCCCTGAAAAGAAACAGCAGAAACACACACACACACCCCCCAGCCACATGCTGTTGGTGGTGGGATAGACAGTTTGGGGACAAAGTGGGACAGCAAAGACAGGACAGGAAAATCTGGGTGTTTCCTTCTTGTACAGCACCTGGGGATCCCCGGCACTGGCAGCATGAGGAGTTTGCACCCCAGCAGGGTTTGCACCTGAGGGGTGGCAGGGTGTGCACATGGGTGTGTGTCCCACGGGGTGCGGGACCCCTTCAGGCTTTGCACCCCACGGTAGGTGTCCACGTTGGTGCTGCTGCCGCTGTCTGGGGCATCCCGGTATGCCCGGATGGATGGCAGCCCCGGAGCAGGGGGGTACTCACCCAGCCCCTCTTTCTCCCCCCCAACGCGGCCGCAGTTCCGCTTCTCCGGCACCGCGTTCTGGTCCCGTGTCAGGCTGCCCAGCAAAAACCCGGGGTCCACCCGCTTGCAGATCCGCTTGACCTGCTTTTTCCGCCGGGGCCGGTATTTGTAGTTGGGATAATCTTGCATGTGCTTCACCCGCAGCCGCTCAGCCTAACGCGGCCGCAGTTCCGCTTCTCCGGCACCGCGTTCTGGTCCCGTGTCAGGCTGCCCAGCAAAAACCCGGGGTCCACCCGCTTGCAGATCCGCTTGACCTGCTTTTTCCGCCGGGGCCGGTATTTGTAGTTGGGATAATCTTGCATGTGCTTCACCCGCAGCCGCTCAGCCTCCTCCACATAGGGACGCTTCTGTGAGAGGCTCAGAGCCTTCCAGGACTTGCCTGAAACAGAGAACAAAACTCCCCTGAGTGCCCACAGTGGCCGTATCCGTATCGGGAAGAGAGAACATGGGGCTGCCTCCCAAAGCTTACAGGCACTCAACCCAAGGACAAGGTGGGGGTTCCCAAAATCTGAGCAAGCACACACGGAGGACACAGCCTGTAAACCCCCCAGGAGGAAGAGATAGGTGGAGAAGAGAAGGGATTGAAGCTGCTGTAGATCCATCAACTGCCCCCATCCCAGGTCCCAGAACAGGGTGGGTTTGGGGTTAGCTGAGCCTCACTGCAAATACATCAGGGCAAATCAATTCCCCCGGCTCCACAGCCTGGGATGGAGAGCCCGGCTGCTGAGTGAGGCTGGCCAAGGCCATGCCTGGCTGAGCAGGGGGTCAGGACGTGGTGTCCCTGGATGTGTCCCAGTCCATGCCCTGCCAGGACCTGCACTGGAGCATACAGAGACCTGGGTGCCAGGACCTTGCTGCTCCCTGTTCAAGATACACAAAATGTTCTCAAGACACAGGACAGTGGAGCAGTGCCGGGCAGGGGGGTTGTATCCCACAGTGAGGCTACTCCAGGCTGTTCCTCAGGGACAGGGGGGGAGAAATGAGGATACGGATCAAAGCATTTGATGCCTTCCCATTGCCAAAGGGAACCAGAAATAACACTAGCAAGCTGAAGTGCTGCATGGAAAGCAGAGAGGAGAAAACCCGAACCACCAAAGAAAACACCACAAAACTGCCCAGGGAAACACAAACTTTGGGTAAGAGGCTGGACAGCAAAGCTGTGTTGCAATTTGGGCAGCTCTTTCTCAGGCTGGGCTGGTTATTTCAGTTTGCTCTCGTGGTTTCGCATAAAAAGGGGGGAGTGGGAGAAGGGAGAAAGGGTGGATGGGGAGTGGGAAACAAAGGTGTATTCAAAATGGGTTGTGATCCCTGAAAAGAAACAGCAGAAACACACACACACACCCCCCAGCCACATGCTGTTGGTGGTGGGATAGACAGTTTGGGGACAAAGTGGGACAGCAAAGACAGGACAGGAAAATCTGGGTGTTTCCTTCTTGTACAGCACCTGGGGATCCCCGGCACTGGCAGCATGAGGAGTTTGCACCCCAGCAGGGTTTGCACCTGAGGGGTGGCAGGGTGTGCACATGGGTGTGTGTCCCACGGGGTGCGGGACCCCTTCAGGCTTTGCACCCCACAGGGAGGTTTGGAGGACACTGCTCAGGGTGCTGGACCCACCGAATGGCCAAGTGGGTGCACGGGTGTCTACAGTGGAGTACTGGATCTGGACAGGGTTTGCACCCCTGGGGATGCCCAGGTGGGTGCATGCGTGCCCACCTGCTGCCTGCCAGACCTGTCTGTATCCCACGGGATGGCCAGGAGGATACATGCACCCCAGGGTGCCGGGGCTAGAGCTGGGCAGGGCTTGCACCTCTTTCTCAGGCTGGGCTGGTTATTTCAGTTTGCTCTCGTGGTTTCGCATAAAAAGGGGGGAGTGGGAGAAGGGAGAAAGGGTGGATGGGGAGTGGGAAACAAAGGTGTATTCAAAATGGGTTGTGATCCCTGAAAAGAAACAGCAGAAACACACACACACACCCCCCAGCCACATGCTGTTGGTGGTGGGATAGACAGTTTGGGGACAAAGTGGGACAGCAAAGACAGGACAGGAAAATCTGGGTGTTTCCTTCTTGTACAGCACCTGGGGATCCCCGGCACTGGCAGCATGAGGAGTTTGCACCCCAGCAGGGTTTGCACCTGAGGGGTGGCAGGGTGTGCACATGGGTGTGTGTCCCACGGGGTGCGGGACCCCTTCAGGCTTTGCACCCCACAGGGAGGTTTGGAGGACACTGCTCAGGGTGCTGGACCCACCGAATGGCCAAGTGGGTGCACGGGTGTCTACAGTGGAGTACTGGATCTGGACAGGGTTTGCACCCCTGGGGATGCCCAGGTGGGTGCATGCGTGCCCACCTGCTGCCTGCCAGACCTGTCTGTATCCCACGGGATGGCCAGGAGGATACATGCACCCCAGGATGCCGGGGCTAGAGCTGGGCAGGGCTTGCACCCCGCGGGGTGGCACGGAGGATCCATGGGTCCCCATCGGGGCACGGTTTGCACCCCCTGGGATCCCGGGGTGGCTGCGTGGCTCCCTAACCCCGGAGTTCTGGATCTGAGCAGGGTTTGCATCCCCGGGGATGCCCCGGTGGGTGCACGCACCGCAGGGTCCCGGGCTCAGAGCAGGGTTTGCAGCCCCGGGGAGGGCTGGGGGATGCCCAGAC